GTGTTCATCGCCCACATGACTCATGCGCTGTTGGAGAAGGAGGGGTGGAAGGGTCGGGGGTTCAGTCATGTGTCTGGATGGATTCGCTCTCGCTTGTCTATCGCCCTCGCGCGTGCGACTAGCTACTGTCTGCGTGGGGGAGGGAGGGGAGGGTTTGCGGGACTGGGGTGTGCTGATGGGGCGGGGATCGATCCCTCCTCCCCGTGAGCGTTTGACTCTGCGTGCTCATGGGACTGTATGTTTATGAGTATCACGGACACACAGACGAGTGTTACGGTTAATGCAAGTTTCCCAAAATTTTGTGTTAGGGTTGGAGTGCGAAACGAAAGGGAGGAGGAGACCATCGTCAACGTCCCAGCCCTGCGATCTTATCTCCCTAGGTGATCTGTTCTAGCAGAGATGAAGACCTCAATACTGGACCGTCAGTTTTCCAAATCGAAGGGCGAAGTAAGATAATGAAAATTCCTTGCACGTGATGCCGCGCATGATGCCTCTCTGCGTGCCCTTGTAGGTGAGCCTCAGCTTGTACGCCTTTTTGTTCTCCGAGATGGTTCAGTACTGCCTCAACAATGTCGAGCAGAGCCAGCAGCTTGAAGACAAGTGGGAAAACGCGCAGCAGAGTATCAAGTTTTGGTTGTTCACTGTGTGTCCTCCCAGGTTGCATGAGGTCGGCGTTCGTGTTGGGTATCGTGTGCTAGATCTGCTGTGCTATCGTGACAAGGCCAACAGGAGGGAGGTCAGGCTGCTGTCCATGCTCTCGTTTGTCTCACAAACCTGCTGGAGGGCACTTTTTGGGCATGCTGGGGACCTTCTGAAGGGACAGGACAGCGAGCTCGAATGTAGACGCATGAAACCACACACACAGTCCGTATGTTGGGGCGCTTTCCCATGTGTGCGACCCTCAGATATGATCAACGACAAGAGCCTGCTTCTGACGAAGTTTATTTCAGTGCCCAGGGTAGGCTCACACTCGACAACTTCCCTGATCACTCGAGATACACTTCACTGTGTATCAGGACTTCTCGCACATCAACTGTGGGGCCTACGCGGCTGGAATCGTGGAGGGGATTCTGCAATCCGCGGAATTCGTAAGCCAGGAGGTCGTTCACATCACCTGTCGTCATGTGTGTTTTGTTCAGCCGTGCGAAGCGAGCGCCCACACGGTGGAGGAGTCGACCAATCCGCCCACTCGCAGTACCACCGTCCTTATACGGTTTGCGTCGGAGGTCGTCGAACGAGAAAAGCGACTGCAGAACAGCTGATGTGTCGTTCGAACCCTACTGACTGACCATGAGTTGCGCATAATCCAATAGTCCGCATGGTTCACAAAGCATACAGTGTCACAGTAAAAACTGTCTGTTGATCCATCAGACCTCATTCATCAGTCATCCATCAATTCTTCCCTCAATTCATCGTCAGCCATGCGGACATCAGCGTGATCAGCTGGTTCTGCTGCCGCTGCTGCTGCTGGGGGGACACCGTCATCCATCATGTCCTCCTCGTCCCTGCCTGCACCTGGACACGGGCAACCACACAACCATGAACACGACACACCTGGCTTTTCATTGCCCCGGGCCCTCTTCACTGACCTTCTCCGCCATCCCCGTCCCCATCACGGTCGTCGAGGGGAGACACAGACACGTCAGGCCTCTGTTGGTACTGCCGAATCCGATTCGCCTGCGCCCCCTGATTTGCCAGCCGGTTGGTCCCCTTCTTCCCCCCCCGCACTGCCGCAGCTCCACATCCTCTGAGTGGAACGAGTCACCCGCCTCCATCGCAGCTGCCCTCTGTGCCTCCCGCACCTCAGCGAGATAGTCCTCCTCCCAACCGCGCACCATCTCGATCGCCTCAATCGCCATCTCCTTGACGCTCTTCGGCTCGCCGTGCGGGTACCGTGTGCCGCCTGGTTTGAGGGCCACCACAGACACCAGCTTGTTGTTCAGCCGTCTGCTGGGCCAGAAGGCCGCTTGTTTTTTGACCGACACGCCGTCCTGCTGGCGGGTCAGCTGTGCGTAAAATCCGGCGTCCTGGTCTTGGGGCCGTGGGCCGCCGCCACCCTTGATTGGGTCGAGCCGGCGGACGTTGTTGGGAGTGCGGTACTTCCACGTGTCCTCCGTCAGTGCGGGGGCCGCCGCCATCACGTGCTCGGCTATCTTGGTCAGAACTCGGACGACCTTCCCGGCACTCTCCTCCAGCCTCCCTCTTCGCACGTCCTGACCGTCGCACACACACACACACATACACACACATACAGCGTCAGATGGCCCGACTGAGACCACTCGACAACACTGCGGGTCGGTGTTGTGACACACCTGGCTGATAATCGAGCGGTCCGCTCTGACCCGTGCGACCACAGCCCCCAGGAACGCGCGGTAAGTCGTCTGCTCGAAGGCGCTCGTCGCCCCGTCCAGATAAGTACGGATGTCGGGGTCGACCATCTCCGCCAGCACTCTGGTGAGCATGTTGACGAGGTGAGACTTGACGCTCTCGTACATTTCTGTGGTCCTCATGACGCGGCGTGAAGCGATGGACGGCGGCCGGGTGGACAGCTCAATGCACAAGTGAAAGGCACTGCACACATCCATCCAGTCACAACCCAGCACTTTGTTGGTTCGGCCGCCATCGACCTCCCATTCCCTTACGTGGCCTTGACGATCGGCAATGCGCCCAAACCCTGAGGCGGCAGCTGCTGGTTGGGGCGCACCTGACCATGAAAAGACACCCCTGTGTGTGATTCGTCAACGCGCTGCATCAGAACCTACCCAGTACGTCGACCAGTCGGTGGCGTTGAAGGTCCCCTGAAAGAGACTATCCGTCTTTTTCTCCTTCAGGGCCCGTACGAACAACTGTGCCTGAACCCTCCTCAGCATCTCCCCGCCTCTGACGAGTGGGAGACAGCCCACACACACAGCGACGCCTCCGACGAAGAGCTCGCTCACAGCGACCTGGGACACTCAAAGTAGTGGACACATTGAGTGGTCACTAGTTGCCGTGGGTCGTCTCAGGTCAGCAGCTTACCCACGTCCATTCGGATGATGTGGTGCGGTCGTACTGGGTGGCCTGAAGGGGGCCGTCGGCCATGGGTGGTGGCCCAGCCGTTGCGCCAGACGCAGAGTCACTCCACGGGCCAAACATGCTCTGACATGGGACATGCCAGTATCCGGGAGGATATGTTGGGCGACTGCCTCAGTTGGGAAAGGGGCTGTCCCTCCTGTGTGCCGACCAGCTCAAGCTGACGGTAAGCCACACGGTGCAGCCGCACGGTCAATTGAGGCCGACTGGGATGTGTCTGCGTGTGCTGGTGTGTCCAGTTGACGCCGCACTGCGATCGCCCTTCTCACCCGGACGAGTGGATGGAGACGGTCGGGCGCGTGGTGGCGAAGGAGGGCCACAAGATCGTGGACTCCTTTCACTCAAGTGGCCGCAGCGGCCGGTTCAGAAGTATGGGTCATTGGACATTGGTTCAGCGAACGTCGGCGGGCCAGGAGACGGACGAGTCAGTCCTCTTCAGCAACCGGAGCTGGTTGCCCTCCAGGAACACATCACGGCAAGCCAGGAGAAGTGGACGCGAGATGGGATGCCTCAGCACCTGACACGGCAGGCCGAGTGGCTCAGCCACTTCGATCGTGGCGGTGGAATCCCCATCTCGGGAATCACTCTCGTGCGGCCGTCCGCTCAGCGGCCAGCGGGGGCCGTCGAGGTCAGACTTTAAATGGTGGACAATGAACGGGGGTCGATCAGGAAGTACTCGTGGGCTGCAAGGCTGGCTGGGCGCAAACGGCAGCTCGTGGTGATGTGTGGGTGTGCTCGCCTGCTTCGCTGGCTGAGAAAGGTACATCCGGCCAAGTAAAAGTGTCACTTAGGAAGACACTGTGATGGGCATGGATTGCTCTCTTGGCTGTGCAGGAGGTGACGTTGGGTGGCGTGTTGGCCTCGCCACAACTTCAACGGCTGGAAAAAGAGGTGGGTAGAGCTGGCCGCCCCCCATCACACCAGAACAGTGTTCTTTCCTCTGACGCTGCGTGCAGGTCAAGGCCTACTACGAGAGGGACGGCCGCAATGGCGATTCAGTTTGGGGCCTGGTGTGCCGCATCGCAGACAGCAGCAGCGAGCTCATTGACTCCGCCATCAAACGGAAGAGGCAGAGACGTCTCTCTCCCAGCGACCCAGGAAAATTCAGCAAAGTATTGGTAAGTCACAGACAGCTAGTCGTGTGGTAATCTATTTGTCATTGAAGTACGTGCCTGTGGGTGTCCGCTCATGCAGTCCATGCTCATGGAGTCGTCCTTGCGGGACAAGCTGAATGCGGTCTATACGCAGCTGCCCGGCCCTGACACCATCGCGTCAGACGACCCAGAAGAGGCACTCAGTGAGCCCGACGACATGATGGACATGGCCCCTCCGTCGCCAGCCGAGAGCCAATCACAACAAGACTCAGCTGCCGACCCACCCTCTCTCGAGGACCTCTGCTTTCCGCCACCGCCCGCTGACCCGGGCTACGCCCACCGCTGCCACTTCGCCACAGACGTCCCGTGGGTCGTTTGTCGAGTCAGCGACACAGATGCGAGCGGCGCAGCCTGCCTCAACGCCCAGTGGATGTTGGATATCAGCTTCACGGCATCAGCAGATGACCTGGATTGGATTCGTGCGGCGGGTGAGGTGGGCGAGTGGGTGGCGATGAACAGCCATTCACATGGCGGTCACAGGCAGCTGCAAGCATGGATTCCCATCTCGGCGAGGGGGGATGACGTGCTCAACCCAGGTGCCATGAGGGCTCTCAAGGCCGGGCTCATGCAGTGGGTGGCCGACGTCATCATGCTGTGCCACCACAAGGGCGGGGCCGGCCAGAGAGGATGTGGCGATAAGCTGAGACGTCTGGTGCGTCTGGCTGAGAGAGAGGGACTGGGCAATCTTGGCCTGGGGGGCGGGAGTCACCTTGACGACATCCCCAAGACGCAGCAGCTGGAGCGGGCTGAAAGAGGGCCAAGGGGTGAGTCTTTAGTGTGGCGGTCCAGGCGTCCAGGGACACCAGCACCCCCACGCGGCAGTTGTGTAGATGTCGGGCTGGGCTGCATTCGGAGGGAGGCTATAGATGCCGACGCTGACGAGGACATGGGGCAGTCGTGAGACTGACTTCCATGTGTGTGGACAAGCTGGATACATATGAGTTCAGTGGGGGTGCGGGTGGCGGGAAGGACGGGGGTGAGTGGGAGGGCGGGGGGGGGCTCGACTTTGAAGGACTTCTTCGCCAGGATGAAACACGCACACACACGTCAGATGTACAGACTATACAAGCCCCACCACTTACAACACCTAGTGTCTTCTCAAAGTCGGTCGAGTCGTCATCCAACTGACGCGGCAGTTTCTGCACTCACACACAAGGCGCATAGACGGACGCCTGCACAGCTGCAACTCGGTGATACGATGCCTGCTCACGCACGGACATTAAGCGTTTCGGTGAGGTCCTTCTGCGCGAACGGGCGGAACTGTTCGGTCAGGTCCCTCACGTCGCTCGTGGCCTGCTTGTATATGGTGAAGTCGGCAGCACGGTTCCGGGCCGTCCGAGTCTTGACAGGCGACACAAATAGAGTCGGATAATCTGTCAGCTGACAGAGAGAGAGAGAGAGAGGGATGGAGAGGCAGATGCACATTTATTTGAGTGAGACACGCTTGACGTCGCCGGCATCATGTCTCACGTATGCACCTACCTTCGCCCAGTCCCTGATGACTTTCTGTGCCTCAAAGGCGGACACCCTCGGCAGATTGCCCTCAGAGATCGATGTGGTCAGCCCCTGCTGCCGCCTGCACACACACACACATATTGGCAGGCCGGCAGGCATCACCTACATCACTGCCGGCCAGACAGACATGTGTTCACCCACTTCCTGGCTGCCCCGTAGAGAAGCCGCAGTCTGCAAAAAGGGTAGGGAGGGGGGCGAAGAATAAGACAGCCATCGTACGAGGAAGGACAACAATGCAGAGTAATTCGCGGGACGGCCCCGTCAGGTGACTGACCTTCCTTGTGTTGAGAAGAACATGCGATCGCTGGTATGTGACACAAGTATCGCTCATGAGAGCCTCGGGCTATGTGACTTCGGGTCGATGAGATCGGACATGGACACATGCTGATTGCTAGTGCTGGCTACTTGGGATGTACTGCCTGCTAGAATGGTCACGACGGAATGCGTCATTTGTCGAATGAGTGATACAGAAATTTAAGTCAAATGATGGATATGCAATTGGTCAAATGAATCGACCATCGGACACGCAGCGGTATATGTGTGCGATCTAGTCACAAAAAGAGAAGAAAAATGGGGGGGAGGAACCCACAGCATTCAGTAGCTGCTTGGGTTCGAGCTCGGGCCGAGGCAAGTCCAAAGCAAAGGGGGGAATGAGATCAAGACGATGACTTTGTGCAAAAGCAGAAAAAGAAGCTGCGGGCTAGCAGGAAGAGGTGATGAGAGGGCGGGTGATTGGGTGGATGTGTTGATATCGCTGCCAGTGGTTGACCCACCTTTGAGACAGTCACATAGGTCTTGTGGATAGCAAGTAAGCTCTGGTGTATATGTGTCCTGGCACCAACAGAGTCACTGCAGCGTGTCAAAATCACACATTTCAGACACACACGAATGTGCGAAAAAGGCCGGTGAGGACCTTTCCTGTAGTTAGCTGAATAGAGGATCTGCTGGGCGGTAAGTCCCAGAGTAAGAGTGCTTTTACTTGG